GAGAGATGAATTTATCACGTCTACTATAAGAAAAAACAAAAAAACGTAAATATTTAATGACAAATAAAAAATCTCAAGCTATCCCATACGCTAGCCGAATAATGTATAAACCTTTTGAGATCATTGTTATTAAATATATATATACATACATACATACATATATATATGTATGTATGTATAAAGATCGGTATAAATGGTAAAAAGTAGTTGATCGATCGACGACGACGACGATGACGATGATGAAGAACGAGATAATAATATATTATATAGTCATATACGATTAACATTATTAAACATTATATTTTATTAATTATTACGTATATATTATATATATAATAATTATTGTATTATATATATACATATATACCGATTCGAAAAAAAAAAAAAAACTATAAACATAGACATACCTATGTAAGTATTGTGTTATATAGAATATATGTTATTATGAATTCTTCTGCATTATTTGTTTTCCTTCGTCATTTACACCTTCTACTTGTTGAACGATTAATATCTTAACTTAAGTATAATATCTAAGGCATTAGCAATGATTAAGTTGTATCTCGACATAACCGAGAAATATTAACCATTAAATGAGATACGCCTGCGATTGAAAAATGGCTTGTTTCGCGTAACAGACATACATACATACGTATTTTCAAACATGTATCGCAAAACAAAACTGCAACCTCGGTGAATTACATTTAAAAGAAAAAAAAAAAAAAAAAAAAACCATGTTCCTTCGTAATCGAATATGCGCTGGTAACAAGCAAATGATTAAATGTGTCACGATAATTATAGCATTGTATACTTGTATATGATAATTGTATTTTAACAGTAAGAAAAGAGTTAGAAAAAGTATCTTTTAAAATAAAGGCTACATTTTTGATTTGAAGAGCTATAGTTTTTTATTGCTGCTTTTGTATTTTCATCGCTTCTTTATATTCCATATTTTATTATATTTTGTACCGTTCAGTTTTCGAACGTAGCCCCAGCTGTAGAAGTAGTCAAAATAGTTGTCAATTCTCAAAATGGAATTAAGAGAAATTATCGTTCCTGTGCTTCAAGTATCTGCGATAACCATAAAAACTAAAGTTTTTCTAATTCAATCTTAAAAGAAACGTGCAATTCTAATGTGAAAATTGATAAATTTAAAAATTTCATAATCAAAAAACATCGACGAGAAATTTTAAAATACCGTGGTATCTCGACGCTTTTATTATTAATATAAACTAAAATCAATACTTCTTTTAAAACCCTATCAAAAAATTAAAATTCATAGATATTGTAGAATTTATAGAAAATAGAATTCATTCGCAACTCTACTTCAAAATGCAATGTTAATAAAAAAAAAAAGTTGATGATGGTGGACATATGTCGATCAAAAAAGAATGAAAGAGAAATACCAAAAGCGAACATAGTGATAAAAATGACTTCTTATCAAGAAAACGAATTAATAATTGTCCTCTTTTGTGAAATTTATATCACATTTTGTAATTCACCTACATACAAATGAACAAGTAATAATCATGATGACCATATATAAGTACAAAATTTCGAAATTCGAAATATTCATAGACAAAGACTTGTGACATTTTTTAGTCGCGTTGATTTTTCAAATTGTATTTCTTAAAACAGGCTGGGCGAGTGAAAATAAGGTATTTAGAAACTGTGCCAATCTGTTCGACTCTAGCGACTTATAATTACACACAAGCACAACAAAACGAGAAATTTATTTGATAATTAACTCTGAATATTAATGAAAATAATCTCGGACAATTCCTTCGTCAAAGTACATTTTTAAAAATACAATAACTTGTTGCTTTAATTCTGGAATCTATCTGACGTTCAATACATTTTTGTATTCGAAAGAAATTTATGAAACAAGAAACCGAAATTAAATATTATTTAAAATTATTTAAACACATGCGTATCCTTTATCATTGGCAATAATTGCAATTTTTATTTCAACAAAGTCAGAGGACATCCGATTCCTTCACTATGAAATATTCAATTAAAGTTCTTAATATTCATTATTCGTTTAAGTATTCTTCATTGTATTATTCACATGTTATAAATATATTTTTCATATCATTTACTAATTAATATAAATTACTATGTTCATATAAAAACCGTATTGTGCAAGAAGAATTATCCTGAACTACATAACAAATAGTATACTGGAAATGTTACTACACGCGGGTATAATAAATGCCCAGCAGTCACTATGCTCGCAAAAAATTCTACGTAATACAACCAGTCACCCGTGTCGATTCGGACCTTTCATCCTACGACATGATTGAGTGACCAGAGGAACAAAAGTGCATGCGACTCACGATCAGATGCAGAGAACGTTGTCGTCAGTGTTGCAGTATTCCAGGGGAGGTTATCGTAAATGCCATGATCAAGGAAGAACCATTGATTCCCATGTGAAGACTATAGAAGTCCTTAACAGAATATGGAATGTTATAAATGGTTCTTAATTATTTGACAAATTCAAGACAACGAAAGACTGATTTTTATTAAACAGAAAATTTTAATAATATACAAACATTCTAATGATATAGTAGATCAAAATTTGAAAATTGGAACTCTAATATGTTAGACATTTCATCTTGATAATTTAATATCGAAAATTTAAATTACTTTTAAATTATGTGATAATATATGAAGATACTTACATTGTCTGGCACTATTGAGCCCTCTGCAGAGAACTGGATGAAGTGAAGGTTATAAAATGTCTATAACAAAATATGGAATATCATTATTTGTTCTGGAAGAATTAATGAAAACGTTTGAGATAATAAAAAAGAAAATTCTGTTAAACTTTTAATAATGACAATTGGGATTTTAATAAACTTCAACCATTATGATAGAATTGGAATTCTAATAAACTTTAATCATTGCAACAATTGAAGCTCTAACATAACAATATGAAATCTAGAAATTCATAATTCTAAGATATGTTAGACTTCTTTACTTCATAATCTAACACCAAAACTTTAAGATTTCGTTTCGATAGAAATTAATTAAAATTCAAGCAAAATAGGAAAAATAAAATAAATTAGAATACAATATGCATATATACTTACATTCTTAAGCTGGAGAGGCTGAATCCTTTTGAGAAAATCACTGCCTTCTAATATCAAAAACGAATATTTTAAGAAATACAATAAAAGACATATGCATTTACAATAAAAAACGTATACAATGAAAATACAATAAAAAAAGAAAAAAATATTTCTTTATGACTACTATAATTAGGTTTGGCACGAATTATTGTATCTACGAATAATATTGACAATACTATTATGCAAAAAGCACTGATTTCATCAATAAACAGAAAAAATTCAAAATTCTTTAGTTTGTTTGAAAAATAATCATTACATCTGAAAAGATGGCGCCTTTTTTATAAGATAATAAAATATCGTTACGTTATACGTAGAAGTCAAAAGATGACGCCACTTCAGGAAACTATAGCCAAACGTGGTACCATTTGAATTTCTTACTTAAATATAGCAAAATTTAGTAAATTTAAATTAAGAAATCTACCATGAAAATTTTCTGTATTTAATTATTCATGACATTATTCTAAAATACGATTTGAAACAATAAAATGATTTGTTTGATTATTAAATAGATACTATGTACCCTATAATTATAATTATAATTATTTAATATATTAAACTGAAAAAGTAATTTCTATATTCTTTCCTACTATTTTCAATAAATTGCAAAATTAATTATATCATATATGTTAAGTATGCATAATAAAATAAATAATTGTATGTTAAATATTACCAATAACTCAATGAGAAGACAAGACTGCTTTCGTTATTGTAACATTACTAGAGTTCCATAAAAGAACAACGACGAACTGTTGATTTTCATGTGATGTCCATAAACATGTAGAAAGTTAAAGTTGATTGTGTTGATATGAAATAATAATCGAATTTAAATCTATTAGTAATAATCAAATATATAATTAAGGAAAAAATATGAAAATGTTTCTTAAATGTTTCAATGAATTAATAAAATTTATTGTTTAAACAAACCTAACAGCAGTATATAAAAGTAGTAAAATTTCACTAAGAAGAAGATAGCAGAAAATCATGCAATAGAAATTACGTCGTTACACTACGATCGTCCATTGTCGAATGACACTCCGCATCGTCAAATTTTGCACTAATGGAGGGGATGTTTCGTTCGGCGGTAAAATTGAGCCATTCAAATCAAAAAGAAAGAGACATTTGAAAGTTCGAAACATGGATATATGAGATTATGAATATAAATTCCATAATTTAAATTTGGTTAAATGCAAACATACACGCACACATATATGTATATATATGTTATTATCAAAAATTGTCAATAATAATTGTTTAAGATTTGTTGTTGAATAAAAAAGATAGTACTATATTTATCGCATTCAAATAATCGATATTTTGTAAAGAAATCTTAAAAATCTTAAAAATATAAATAAAAGAAATATAGAATGGATTCAACATGAGAATACACATGAATTTGTTCTTTTACTGTTTTTTTTTTTTATCGCATATGATTCAATATTATAATTAACATTAAAATTAAATTGTAATTATGGAATTATAAATTATCATTACAAATGAAATTTAGAATTTGTATACTATACTTGTACAATATTCATTTTCATATACAATGTATATATATATATATATATTCATTTTCGCACAGCTTGAATAGATAAATATTGATTGGGATATTTGAATAAAAATCATCTCTGAATCTTTTCCAATTTATTATCTCTGAATTTTTTTCCAATTTAATATTCTTTTGACGTTTTCAGAATATCTATTTTAAATATAAATACACATGTATATATAAACTTAATTTGCATCATTAGGTTAGTACATAAATTACAGGATAGTAAACATTAACATTTTAAAAACAAATCAGTATTTTACACATAAAGGAAATATTAAAGTTTTAATATAAATGAAGTTAAAAACATAGATAAAAGCAATTTGAATATTACTCAATAGTAATAAAAGTATTTTAATGTTTTTTTTTTTATCTAATTCATAACCCAATACCTTCCTTCATTAAACATAAAATACATTTCTAAATAGAATTAAATCTCCATAGATATGAACAGAAAAGATTCATTTAAAATATATTATAATACATTTAATAAAAAAATAAATAAAGTATGAAATATTGTAAGGTAATCGTAACAAATGATATGTTGATTTTTAATAGTTGTCAGACGTGTATGTTTGTGACATGGCACGAATTATGATATGCTAATGTTGTGTGCTTTAAATACTAACGTAATTTAACATAATTTAAATACTATAGTTTGTAAATTGTTGTAGATTGTTTTATAGATAATTGGTAGAAATGTATTGGTACATTGGTGATGATACTTTAGTATGTGAAAGTTCGTACCGTAAACCGAAATCTGGTTGAGGTTATGCCACGATATAAGATTTGAAATATTTTTATAAGTAGGGCGAATTTGTATCAAATGCAAGTAACAGTTGGCACCAATACAAATTTTTTGAGTCATGGTTGATGAGGGAACTGTTCCAAATGTATCGACGTACGAGTATCATATGGTCAATGCCGAAAATGCTCAAAATACATCAAGGGAAAGACGACGAGTGAAAAGACAAATGTTCTCGGATATAAGAATGATCAGCAGAATCGATTGGATCACAGTCGGTGTACTGTGTTTCGTCAATTTAATAAATTACATGGATCGTTTTACGATCGCTGGTATGTATTCGTTTGATTTCAATATTCTTTATAATATTATAATATTGGGGTTGTGTCTTGCCCAAAGTTGATCAATATTTGTAAAGTCCGTGTATAATGTTGCAGGAATGCTAACAGAAATAAAAAATGATTTTAAAATCACTAATGATAAATCCGGGTTACTTCAAACTGCATTTATTCTGAGTTATATGGTGTTTGCACCATTCTTTGGATATTTAGGAGATCGTTACAATAGAAAAGTTATTATGAGTAGTGGTGTATTTTTATGGTGTTTGACAACATTTGTTGGATCTTACATGAAGGTAATTTTAAGAGGCGTACCAAAGAAATTTTTTTATAAACAAAATAAAATTATTTCAGACATTTGGATGGTTTCTCTTATTTCGAGCTCTTGTTGGAATAGGAGAAGCCAGTTATTCCACGATTGCTCCAACAATAATTAGTGATTTATTTGTAAAAGATGTACGTTCTAAAATGCTTGCACTATTTTATTTTGCAATACCTGTTGGAAGGTAAACATATTGAACTTTAAATCCATGTGATAAAGAAAAATAATTGTAATATGACTTTCAAGATAATTTGATTTTCAGTGGTTTAGGATATATAACTGGTGGTGAGGTAGCCAGAGTTACTGGTGCATGGCAATGGGGTTTACGTATCACTCCAGTATTAGGTATATTAGCAATTATTTTATTGCTATTAGTAAGAGACCCTATTAGGGGGGAGAGAGAAGGTGGGGTTCATTTATCAAATACTGCGTGGTCAAGTGATATCAAGGCATTATTAAAAAAGTAAATATCAGAGTAAATACTGTCTATATTATAATGTCTATATTATAATAGTTTACATTATTGTTACTTTTTTTATCTTGTAGTCAAAGTTTTATGCTTTCTACTGCTGGCTTTACATGTGTGGCATTTGTTGCTGGTGCATTAGCTTGGTGGGCTCCAATGTTTCTACAATTAGGATTTGCATTGCATCCTAATGGACATAATGTTGATCCAGATGAGTATGTTTCTATTTTGTCTTTTATTTATTTAATTTAAGCTGTTGTATCTGCAAATCATCTTCTAATTATTTGAACCATTTCAGTGTAGCGTATAAATTCGGATTGATAGGAATGGTGGCTGGTTTAATAGGAGTGCCAATGGGTTCATTATTAGCCCAAAAATTAAGAGTACAGTGGCAGCAAGCTGATCCTCTGATATGTGCTATGGGACTTTTAATCAGTGTGCCATTATTATTTTTTGCAACCATAACTGCCAATACAAATTCTGTCTTATGTTATATACTCATATTCTTTGGACAATTATCGTTGAATTTAAATTGGTCCATTGTAGCAGATATATTGTTGGTATGTTCCTCTAAATTTTTCTAATATTTCACTTGTTTCATGAGCATGTTTCTCCAATAATTGTTCTTTTGAAATTTTATAGTATGTAGTAATACCAACAAGGAGATCTACAGCAGAAGCTTTCCAGATACTTATCGCACATGCCTTTGGAGATGCAGGAAGTCCTTATCTCATTGGTTTGGTAAATATTTGTATAAACTTAAATAAATCTAAAATATATATTAAATTTTTATTTTATTAAATTATGTATTTCAAATTCTTTTATCGTTGAATAATTTTATTATATAATATTCTATATTTTCATATTTTATGTTATCTTGTATATTATATTTGTTCTTCATAATTTTTATGTTGTTAATTTTTGGCAAATTTATTGATTGATTTCAGTTATCGGAAGAACTGAAAACAGTTCTTCTTTCAGACTTGAGTATGGATGGTAAAGTAAAACATATAACAAATCAAGCTGAAGACACACTTATTGAATTTCGCAGTTTGCAGTATGCAATGTTTCTTACAATGTTCGTAGCGGTCTTGGGCAGCTTATTTTTCTTTTTTACAGCGTTGTACATACAAAAAGATAAAGCATTAGTCGATCTTACGATCGCAGGTAAGTAAAATAGCTTTGATATACCTAAAAAAAGAAATTTATTTTAGCATCTTATTTGCATGTACGTATGAAAGTTGCTACTAATCAGCTTATCGTTTGATGTACACGTATATATACACAAGTTAGTACAAGTTTTATAATTTTTTTGAAAAGTTTTTCATTGTCTTGTTTTGGGAGCATTTTTTGCAAGAATAATATAGACATTTTTCACCAAAAAGTAATGCACTATCGCTTGTAGTATATTAGCTGCAAGTTATTCATGAAATAAATTACTAATTGCTAATGATTTTTGTACTACAAAATAATAAAATTAAACATTTATTTTTATTAATCATTTATTATCGATATTCTATAGAGGAAAACGTTGCGTGAACTTAAAACATTGTTTTGTTAAGAGCTGTCACTAAAAACTGTATTAGTTTTATAAATCATATAACCTAAAAAAAAAATACACCTAAAAAAAAAAAATGCTAACAAAATGTAATTATTTTTGCACAGTGCATGAATTGTTCTCACTCTTGGAATTAAACGGACAGTTTTTTGACAAAAGAAGTAAGAAAATACAATTTCACTTTTTTTAGCACGTTAAGCGCCCAAAATTATTTATATAAAACTTAATAAATATAAAACTTAATATAATAAACTTAATAATTATAAAACTTGTTGTATATTATAAAATTTTATTTAGTTAATGTTTTTGAAAATAAAATACTCCATATACTATCTATACGGAAAATAAAAATGATGGGAAATAATACAAAGTTGTCCCTTTGTTTTAAAATTGCTAATTTTTAGAAATCATAGGCGCTTAACTTGTTAAAATTGATAGATTTTCGAAATAAAAAAGTTTCTTTGAAAATTTGAAATATGTGGAATTTATAATTTAAAAACAATTTTTCAGAAGGTGACAGCTTTGTTAAAATTAATAAAATAAGCACATTTTCCTCTTTAGTTTATTTTTTTTTTT